TTACCACAAGATCTCTAATGTGTTTAGGTCTACGATATGCCAGTAAAGAAGACTCTGGAAAGATCTGCCTAAGTTTCGCTGAAGATTCGATGATGCGCCAGTGCTTTTTCAAGATAGATGGAAGTGGCGGCATGTCTGGGTGGAACATGACAACACAAGGTACCCTTTGTGTTTGGGGTCTGACTTTGTATACAAGAAGACGTGCCCTGTCTAGAACCCTCACTTTGTCTATTTCCCGATCTATCAAAGTAGATTTGTATCCTCTGCCAAGAAGATGGGACTTTAACTCTGAACATCTGCGTTCAAAGATGATGTCATCCGAAATAATACGCCTGATGCGCAGAGCTTGGGAGTAGGGTATGCTTCTCGTGGTGTGCGAGAGGTGACAACTGGATGGGAGGAGATACTGGTGTGTGCCAGTAGGTTTACAGTGGAGGTCCGTACTAATCTTACCATCAATCAGAGAGGAACTGGGGTCCAAAAATGTGTTGCTCTCCGTGGAGATATCCGCTGTGAATTTGATGGTGGCGTGGAACGCGTTAGCGTACTCAACAAACTCGTCAAGGGAGTCCCGACCCGATGTCCATTTGATTTCAACGTCATCGATAAATCTCAACCAGCTAAATGGCTTAATTGGAGCAGATGTTAAAAGTTGGGATTCAAGATGTCCAACAAAAGCATTTGCATATGAGGGGGCCATCTTAGTACCCATGACTGTACCGCTAACTTGTATGTACCTCATTTGATGTAAAGTTGTTAAGTGTGAGGACAAGTCTCAGTAAATCCAACAGGCTATCAGTCGATGGGTGTTTGGTACTGCGCCGTTCCGATGCCTCGCGACAGGCTGCAATGCCGCCGTCATGCGGTATGTTAGTGTAGAGGGAAACGACGTCCATCGTTACTAACAAGGTACCTTCTGGTAAGTTCTTAGCATGTGTTTTGTTTAGATAGTCTGTGGTGTCTTTTAAAAAAAGATGGTAAATGTTCCACGAATGGTCGTAGGTGGAATTCAACAATCTGGGAAATTGTCTCCGTCGGGTGGTTGATCGAGTTAATAATGGGTCTACCAGGGTTCGCATGTTTGTGAATTTTAGGAAGAAGTTAAAACTTTCCTGCTTGAGAGTTTTCGGGGCGCAGGAATTTCGCGGTATCGTTGTCAATATCACCCTTCTCTAAAATTCTATTGATGGTATTATTAATCTGCTGTGCGTGTATATGCGTCAGGTCACTATCGACCTTACGATAAAATGTCTCGTTGGAGAGTTGCCGATTAGCCTCTTGGATGTAGTCGTCCCTGTTCATTATAACAACTGCACAGCTTTTGTCCGCTGGCTTGATGACAATGTCCAAATTATTTTTAAGGGATTTGAGTGCCTGGCGTTCCAAAGGTGGTGACAGATTGTCCTTGGTTGTCTGCGTGTTGTTTAAGTGGACGGTTACTTCCGCCTTCACTGCACTGATGAACGCTTCGAGAGCAGGTACTCTGCTGGGAGAGGGTTCCATTTACTTTTATGTTTGAATGGATTGATCATATATATATATTATAAATTAGAAAAATTATCCGTACGGACGAAGAAATATTCTTTAGTACTTTCATCTCTTCTAGGAGATTCTTCAAACTCATCTACCTTGTAATATTACCGCACCCAACATATACTGCCCAATCCATTTGTCCCTTGACAATAAAATCTTTAAACATTTGATGAGATTAAATTACCGCACCCAACAGATACAGGCCAAAAAGCCAAAAAGTCCTTTATATCACACAAGGCCATCCACTGATGAGTTTGGAAATTCAATCCCACCAACATGAGTCTGAAGAATCTCCTGGAAGAGATGAAAGTACTAAAGACTCGTTGTTAAGAATTTTTCTTTTTATAATATATATATATATATATATATATATGTTATGTCTTTTCGGTATCAAAATATAAGGTTAAAATTTAAACCATTAGATTCAATTATAATAAAAATAAGTATTAGTAGTTGTTTCCCCTAATTTGATTATTAATTTGATAATACCAACTTGTTTATATGTGTTTGTATGTGTTATAATGTCTATGTCTATGCTTGTACCACTGTCTGTTACTATGTTTGGAAAGGACTTAAATAGGCTATGCCTGCTGCCCAATCCATTTGTCCTTTGATAATAAAATTTATTGAAATTGAATCTATAAATAAACACAATCCCTTGGCAAGGTAGACATTATTTGGTCTGTCGGAATAATCAGATTTCTTAATAATCAACCAAAGATAGTCTTGATTGTGGTTTCTCGGCGGGCCATCTCGGCAGATTTGTTGATATATGTCCAGACATTGAAGGACATTAAGGTGTCTGTGTTCAATGACAATGTCGCAATAATTGTCACATTTATGAATGGAAATGTAATCATGTATCTATTTGTAATCTGGCAGCCTTGGTAACATATTAGATGTCCATACCAACTTTGATGGTTAAATCGCATTCTGCTATATATAGATGTAGCTGGTCCGATGCCTTTCAGGCTTATCATAAAGAGTTACGCTATATACAATCTGTTGCAATATATGTTGATATGATGTTATAAACACCTTTGTTTTTCTCAATATGCCTTGGAACTCCCTGATCTATTGTTCATTGATAAATATTTTTTTCAGTCCACCACATTAGAAACATAAGATATTTTTTTATCAATGAAATATTGAAAATTATTCAAACTATAAAATTCACTAGTGACAAATATCACTTTTGCTGATTTGACCAATAAAAACACTGATTGCAAAATACTATGGGGAATATTACAAGTGGCCCATCTGGTAAAAGCCTGGTTAGCTTAACGACAACTTCAACAACTAAGGCGGAGTATAAAATGGTCTGAGATGGATGCGGTATCTGTGCTGTAGCATTCAGGTGAGGTGGCACTATAAATGATACCGTTTTAAGCCACCGTTGGAAGCCACCAATAACACAATATATCTCCAGCACAAACGCAGACATACATACATGTATATAGGGAGATATTAGCCAGGTTGCATAGGACTAGTAGTTAGCGCCTGACAAGGCAGCTCCTGCGAATTCCTAAAAATTGTATTGATAAATGTATATGCTAATTGTATTCATTGTATAAATTGTATATCTATGTACTGTAAAGCACTTTAGAGTGGCTTATGATAGCTATATAGGGCGCTATATCAAAGATGTATATTAGTATCATTATTATTATACACAGGCCCCGAGAAAGAAATTCGTCCGAGACATCAGCCCATTCTACTGCCCTGAATAATCATCTGAGACATATCATGTGGGATTACTCTCTAGGGAAAATAACGTTTTTCACAGTTAACTTTCATTTTTATGAAAGCCAGCCGACCATGCAGGTCTGCTATTCTAACTATTTGAACAGAAGAACACTCGTGTCATATGAAACACGATATCGCGTATCCAAGTCCAAAACCAGGCTACGCGATTGGCAGGAAGTATAAGTTAACCAGGGTCATAAGTATAACTTAAATAGGTGGTGTGGATATTTTATCATCAGGATAAGTGGTGACAGAACAACTATTCATTTTCCCCACTCCCCACCATTGTAGATTCGGCGCTTATCAATACTGCTAGTGATCTGAGTTGATATGACGGTACTTCATCTAAATAATTAAATTGTGAGAGTATTTTGTTATATCTTTTTAAAAATATAAACTTAAACGCCAACATAATCAATTAAAGTAACTAAAGGAATTGAATTATGAGTTTTACACTTTTTTTTGGCAGATACCACTATATTTTGTCTCGTAGGTGTTGTTTAGACATGCTGGTGGTAAAAGTACCCAGATCAAGTATTGTCAGCTTGATGTGTCGTTTAGCTTTCTGGTATAGGATTTCGTAAAAGAAATGTAATAAACAGAATATCTAAATAACGAATATGACTATATAACGAATATCTCGTGTGGCTAATATTTTGATATCTTTCACTTGCGCACTCGTGAAACATATCAAAATATTAGCCACATCCGTGAAATATATATGGAATTACTAAAGATACTGTTAGATATCCTCTATATATTGGTTCCAGAACATTTTGTTTCTAATATGATTTTGATTACTTTTGAGTCGTAAATGGAAAGTGTGCAAATGTAGAGGCACTAAATTGGAAGTTAGAATATATGTCAATTGGTATCCGTGTACAAAGGTACGAAAACTAAACAAACAACTTCATCTTATATATAATCTATATTTTCCCCATTGATATAAAACGTGACACATTACTGACTAAATCCTTTAATTGCAAACAATTACCAAAAATGGGAATCAAGGAGGAACATATATAACCGTTTAGTTTGTCGATGCAGAAAGTAGAAAGAAAGAGAAGAGCATGTCTAACGTTTTCCGAGTCATATGTTGAATAGAGCGAAAAGGGGACAACTTCAAGTCGTATTTCATATAAACAGTGTCAGGATACATTCCTGCTACAGTGCACAATGTACTACCAGCAGATCAACCGTTAAGTAAAACAATTACACAAATACGAAATAAGGATTGGTTTGGTTTGGTTTAGTATTGGTTAACGCCCCATCAACAGCTATGGTCATTTAAGGACGGCCTTCCCCGTGTGCAAGATGCATGCGTGTAGTGTATGCGTGTGTGTTTTTGGAGGCTGCGATATGTTCGTGTTTGTCTCCTTGTGATAGCGCGGAACTGATGCAGACTTTATAGTGCTACCTCACTGAAACATACAGCCGAAGACAACCAGCAGGACACCCTACCCGGTCACATTAAAGTGGCAACGGGCGAACTAGTCGTCCAACTCCCAAATTGCTGAGCGTTAAGCAATGAGTAGGAACTACAATTTATACAGACTCTGGTATGTCTCGGCCAGGGACAGAACCAAAAGCCTTCCTCACAGGGGCGAACGCTCAACTAAAGGCCAAAAGTGAGGCATTGCCAAGGGAGACATTAGGAAGGAGAAAGTTGTTTAGCAAGAAGAGAAAAGATAAGATCCCAAATTTAGTCGTCTCTTACGATCATGCAAAGGGATCAGCAGGAACCATTCTTACGTCCTACCTGCTGGAACCATTCTTACGTCCTACCTTCTGGTACCATTCTTACGTCCTACCTGCTGGTACCATTCTTACGTCCTACCTGCAGTGACAACAAAGTAAGGACGTGAGAAAAACACATCAGTTACTATTTTGCACCTTGAGACAGTTGGAAGTAAAATACATGTTGGACAAAAATAAAAAGTGTTCTGTCACTTTCTTTTTCTGTCAAAAACCTGTGAATATGTTCTGAAATTTACGCTAAAAAGGCATCGCACATACGCAAAGTGCACAATTTATTTGATAGATACATTATAACCCAAGGAATTGTCTCGGTTATTCCTAAAATAAATGTATAACAGGATATTCCACAGGTGTTTTCAACTTTAAAGACGGCGACCGGAGTATCTAGATTATCTATAAATAGATGTTTCGAGAAATAATTCATGAAAACCAAATTATATTGATAAAAGCGTCGAGTCTACGAGCGAACTGTTTGGACCGCCTACGAGGAAGGGTAACATGTCAAAGATAGACAGACAAGTTATAGATCCGGAGTTTGTATACCACATTTAGTTAGCGTTAGCAAAGATGTCATGGACAAAGCAGACGACAAATTGATTAATTGTTTTTTCTAATGTGCTAAAAATATCTCGTAAAGATACGTCCGTCAGGTGTATGAAAAATGGGAAAAAAACTAAGCTTCCATTCAGCATAAAACAAGCGAATAAAATGGCTCGATGAGAAAGGAGAAAAATCATTCAAACAGGTGGAGTTAAACCCCTGTATCAACAATTGTTTCAGCCAAGTCATACGATTTCACGCAGATACGTCGTGAACGCTCTGTCTTCACCACGTCGATCGTGTAAACCTTCCTTCACTTAAAACCTAGGAACCTATAGACTCCTTTACTTAACACCTAGGAACCTATAGACTCCTTTACTTAACACCTAGGAACCTATAGACTCCATTACTTAACACCTAGGAACCTATAGACTCCTTCACTTAACACCTAGGAACCTATAGACTCCTTCACTTAACACCTAGGAACCTATAGACTCCTTCACTTAACACCTAGGAACCTATAGACTCCTTCACTTAACACCTAGGAACCTATAGACTCCTTCACTTAACACCTAGGAACCTATAGACTCCTTCACTTAACACCTAGGAACCTATAGACTCCTTCACTTAACACCTAGGAACCTATAGACTCCTTCACTTAACACCTAGGAACCTATAGACTCCTTCACTTAACACCTAGGAACCTATAGACTCCTTCACTTAACACCTAGGAACCTATAGACTCCTTCACTTAACACCTAGGAACCTATAGACTCCTTCACTTAACACCTAGGAACCTATAGACTCCTTCACTTAACACCTAGGAACCTATAGACTCCTTCACTTAACACCTAGGAACCTATAGACTCCTTCACTTAACACCTAGGAACCTATAGACTCCTTCACTTAACACCTAGGAACCTATAGACTCCTTCACTTAACACCTAGGAACCTATAGACTCCTTCACTTAACACCTAGGAACCTATAGACTCCTTCACTTAACACCTAGGAACCTATAGACTCCTTCACTTAACACCTAGGAACCTATAGACTCCTTCACTTAACACCTAGGAACCTATAGACTCCTTCACGTAACACCTGGGAATCTATAGACTCCTTCACTTAACACCTAGGAACCTATAGACTCCTTCACTTAACACCTAGGAACCTATAGACTCCTTCACTTAACACCTAGGAACCTATAGACTCCTTCACTTAACACCTAGGAACCTATAGACTCCTTCACTTAACACCTAGGAACCTATAGACTCCTTCACTTAACACCTAGGAACCTATAGACTCCTTCACTTAACACCTAGGAACCTATAGACTCCTTCACTTAACACCTAGGAACCTATAGACTCCTTCACTTAACACCTAGGAACCTATAGACTCCTTCACTTAACACCTAGGAACCTATAGACTCCTTCACTTAACACCTAGGAACCTATAGACTCCTTCACTTAACACCTAGGAACCTATAGACTCCTTCACTTAACACCTAGGAACCTATAGACTCCTTCACTTAACACCTAGGAACCTATAGACTCCTTCACTTAACACCTAGGAACCTATAGACTCCTTCACTTAACACCTAGGAACCTATAGACTCCTTCACTTAACACCTAGGAACCTATAGACTCCTTCACTTAACACCTAGGAACCTATAGACTCCTTCACTTAACACCTAGGAACCTATAGACTCCTTCACTTAACACCTAGGAACCTATAGACTCCTTCACTTAACACCTAGGAACCTATAGACTCCTTCACTTAACACCTAGGAACCTATAGACTCCTTCACTTAACACCTAGGAACCTATAGACTCCTTCACTTAACACCTAGGAACCTATAGACTCCTTCACTTAACACCTAGGAACCTATAGACTCCTTCACTTAACACCTAGGAACCTATAGACTCCTTCACTTAACACCTAGGAACCTATAGACCTCTTCACTTAAAACCTGGGAACCTATTGACTCCTTCACTTAAAACCTGGGAACCTATAGACTCCTTTACTTAACACCTAGGAACCTATAGACTCCTTTACTTAACACCTAGGAATCTATAGACTCCTTCACTTAACACCTAGGAACCTATAGACTCCTTAACTTAACACCTAGGAACCTATAGACTCCTTTACTTAACACCTAGGAACCTATAGACTCCTTCACGTAACACCTGGGAATCTATAGACTCCTTCACTTAACACCTAGGAACCTATAGACTCCTTCACTTAACACCTAGGAACCTATAGACTCCTTCACTTAAAACCTGGGAACCTATAGACTCCTTTACTCAACTCCCGATCTCTATTTACAGTATGACCAACCGGGACGGCTTTCAATAGGCAGGCTGCCTTTGATTTTCCGGTTGTGAAATTGTGAAAAACGTTTGCGGGATTCCAGCTTGCTCTGACTATCTTGGCTTCTGTGATGGCTGCTTATGGACAAACACCGTGTCTCCAACCAATCATGTTGATGAAGACCAAGCTTTTGTGGTTTTGTTTTAACTAGAATCATGTCTAACTTACCTCAAATATTTCAATGGGAAACCGAGACGAAGTTTTTTCCGGGATGTTGCTACTGTCTAGTCATTGAAGTTAAACGAATGTCGTTTCTGACATGAACAATAAAGCATTAGTTAATTTTGAATAGCGTTCCCTGTACGTAAAGCGATATAGTGGATAGGACGTATGAAAGACGTCTTTTATTGACACGCTCGGCGAGTATTCAGATACAAAGAAATCCCATGATTCAAGGTTTAGACGTGTTTAGACAAGGTTTGATTTAGTAATAAACACAGTTCGCAATATCGTTCTATCAAAGTTTCCGACCCGAAAGCCAGCACTTTGCACCCAGAGTTTCGAATTATGTTTTAAAATAACAAGAAAATTCCGAATTGCAAACAAAGCCGTAACTAGAACTGGAAAAACCGATAAAGCTGAGGCAAAGTTTGAGCGTAGAACATGTTTACACGGGGCCCATGACCCATTACTCAAAATTACGAAACTGAGCCCCTGTGAACGTCGTCTGCTAGCAATGCTAATCTGACCGATTATACATGGAATCTGTTTCAAACGAAATGTCCTTGGAATCGTTATCACCTACTGAAAGGACCACTTTGATTAAATATTTCCGAGTATATATACTTCTGAAAATAACGTAATATTCCAGTCAATAAAAACATAAGCGTTTCCGAGCAAACAATCATGTCCGTTCAGCGCCGCATCACTCCCAAATACATGTCATCTATCAATGCGCGAAAAACAGCTTTAATTTTAAACAAGCAGAAATTATGCAATTATTAACAATTTTTCAACATATACACACTCATATGAAATAGATAATAAAGTTAAGTTTGTGTTTAAACCATTTTATGTGCGTGTGGTTTGCAATAACACGAGAGACTATAATATTTCTTCCGCAAAATTCGGCTGTGTTGGGATTTGAACTTACTGACGTCACTGAAATGATAAGCGGGAAATTCAAATGTATTTTTGCTTCAGTTACTATCCAAAACAAACTATAAACATGTAAATATAAGCAATGAACTGTTACCAGATGCAGTATACAGTCGATATGAATGCAATTTAGGTAACAGATAAATATTCATGTCGCCCGTTAAATATTCATGTTGCCCTAACGGGCGACATTCTATTTATCATGCGCATGCGTGACCACGTAACATCCTTCCTTCGAGCACGGTAATTTTCCCTAATTCTGGTCCATTTCTACCCCACATAACTATTCCCCCCCCCCCCCTATACCTACTACATATCATTCTTCCATTTTCCGTTAAGATTCGCTTCCCTTATTATCTAGATACCATATTCCCAATCTTTTCTCTAGGCCCCAAACCCAAATTGAATTCCAGCCATTTCTCACACCCATTCTTATCAACTTCCGGTTCATTTTCTCCTGCCTATAAGATTTCTAGTGCAGGTAAGACACAAACACTGTGATACACAACACACAATGAGGTGCACATATTTTGTTTAGCCATAGCCCTCCTAGCCTTCTGGACCACAAACAAAATAGACATCCACCATTCATTAGGCCGATCTCCTACACTCGCCGTCACACCGGCACACACACAACCACACTACCTGGCACTATACCCACCCCTCTGACAAGACAAAAACACAAAACAATTAAACCCAGTTGCACATACCTTTTCATCCTCCTACTTTCCATATTGTCAGATACAGAATTAAACCCCAGTCCGAGAGCCCCCGGATACCACTGCGGTACCTGTGGCAATGCAGTCACATGGAAATCCAGTGCCATATGCTGTGATACGTGTGACACCTTGTACCATGTCCGACTGTTAGGGAATGAATAAATCATCCCTCAAATACTACGACCGTAGAGGGGTATCTTGGGACTGTCTAAACTGCGGGCTTCCAAACTTCTCCACAACACTTTTTGAAAACACAGGCATTGACACATCGAACAGATTTTCACGACTTCACAACTCTAGCATACACGCAAGCTTACACGAGGACCTCACCCAGACTCACCCACAGCATCCTCCTCACCAATAAAACAAAACAACAAGACTGCCACTAGCTACAACAAATTTATTAAACCAATACGCATAGCCACCATTAACTTCCAATCCATTTCAAACAAAAAACCTTACCTCGACCAGATTATACACTCACTCAAACCAGACATCATAATAGAAACAGAAACATGGCTGAATAACACAATCTCTTCATATGAATACTTCCCAGTCACTGAGTACACTGTCTACCGAAAAGACCACAACCCAAATAAAAATGGCCAAAGCCACGGAGGTGTACTACTTGCAATCACAAACAAATACAATACAGAACAGATTAAAGAATTAGAAACAGACAACGAATCAATTTTCAACTTACCACACATAGACTGGCAAAACAACACAACCATACCAGGCAAACAAGAACAAAAACTGCACCAGCACCTTCTGGACATCATAGACAACAACTCCCTCACACAAATAACGACAAAGTCCACCAGAGGAAACCACATTCTCGACCTGGCACTTACAAACAGACCATCAATCATTAACAAGACTGAAACCACACCACCTTTAGGCAAATCTGACCATGACACAGTCTACACTGAAATTGACGTTCGACTGAAAAGAACAAGAAGAGAACCCAGAAACATATACCTCTACAACAAAGCTAACTGGAACAACATACGAAACGACCTCACTCTTCTAAACACAAAACTTAACAAACAACCTAACCAAACCGCAGACAATCTTTGGGACATGTTCAAAACAACACTTACTAACTCAGTCACCAAAAATATCCCACAAAAACACATCACATACAAATCCAAACTCCCTTGGATAACACATTCTCTCCTTCGACTCATGAGAAAATGTAAACAATTACACACGAAAACCAAAACAAGACATGAACTTATACAGAAATACAAATCAGCAAAATCAGAACTACAAACACAAACACGCAACGCATATCTTAGCTACAAAGAAAAAGCGATAAAAGACCTACCAATAGACGAACCCAGCACACCATCGCCTAGCAAAAAATTCAATTCCAAAAAACTATTCCCCTACATAAAAACCACAAGAAAAGAAAACACTGACATAACCACATTACGTAAAGACGGACAACTAAAAACTGACACTACATGCAAGGCAAACATACTAAACGAACAATTTGAATCTGCCTTCGGCACAGAACAGGACTGCCCAATACCAGACAAAGGACCTTCCCCTCACCCTCTCATGCCAGAAATACACATTACAGAACAAGGCATCTATAGACTACTCAACAACATCAACCCACATAAAGCAACATACTTAAAGAATTCAGTGACATCATAGCACCCATTCTCACAAAAATCTTCACCCGCTCACTCACTACATGAACACTACCATCAGATTGGAAACACGCAAACGTAAACCCAATATACAAAAAAGGAGACAAGTACAACCCAGCAAATTACAGACCAATTTTACTAACCTGCATCACATGTAAACTCATGGAACACATCATACAGTTACAAGCGCCACAATGACACATCTAGAGAAGAACAACATATCATATGACCTACAACACGGCTTTAGATCCTCCAGATCCTGTGAAACACAGCTCACCACATTCTTACATGATCTCGCATCAAACAACAAAATCAACAAACAGACAAACATCATCACTATGGACTTTGCCAAAGCTTTCGACAGAGTCCCACACAAACGACTACTGTTCACAGACTTTCTCTCATTCCGCACCCAAACAAAAGTACTCGAGGGCAAATAATCAGACAAAATACAAGTAACCTCTGGCTATTTGCAGACAACAGCATCATATACAAGACGATAATCAACAAAGAAGACACACTAAAACTACAACATGACCTTGACGCAGCAGGACAATGGGAGACGGACTGGCTAATGAAATTTCACCCTGACAAATGCAACATACACATTGTACTCAACATTACAACAAAACATAACAAAATACACCATGACTACAAACTCCACAACCACACATTACACCAAGTAGAATCCAACAAATGCTTAGGCTTAACATTACAAAATAACCTACGATGGGACAAACATCACAGCCAATGCCAATAGGTCCCTAGATTTTCTAAAACGCAACTTAAAAATAAACTCATCACATATAAAAGAACACGCATACAAAACACTAGTCAGTCCAAAAATTGCTCGTGACCGAAGGGTTGCGTGTTCGAGTCACGGCACGGCACTGTGTTATATCTTTGAGCAAAATGCTTTACTTCCAGTCTACACAGCTGTAAATGAATACGTGGTTGGGCAGTGTTAGAATTGTTTAATGCTAGCTGTTAGTGCCGAAATGGCAGCACCGGCTGTATGCTCCCCAGTGAGTTGAGAATGAAGATGGCTGGTTGCAAAGGCCCTATAACCACAGATAATCATTTGTGAACCGCATTGAGACGACCTACAAAGTAGGTTGTGATAAAGCGGTATATAAGAACCTCAAATTATTATTATTATTATTAATATAAGTTTTGACTTATCAACGTAGTGTTTAAAAAAAATGTAACAAATAATAAAACGGCCTCACAACTTCTTCTGATAATTGACAATCTAAATGTTTTTTCCGTAACGTCGCCTAAGTGGGACATTTTACGGAAATTGAAAAGTGTAGTGCGATTTTTTCATTATTGATCCCTTCACAAAAGTGAAAAGCATTTCATTCTATTCAGTAAATACGTAATTTAATATTATACGTCATCAAAGTTTCAATTTATCTAAAATGTACGTAAAAAAACCTGTTTAATTTCTAATTTTGCCTGTTTTACAGGAAAACGTTCTTTCAGATAGATAATTTTCTTTGTGTGATAATTTCGATAAAGACACATTACAAATATGTCATTATACATCTCAAATATCTGACAATATCCTCCTGTCAACACAATAGATTCATTTCATTTCATTTTCATTTCAGAATATTTTAATGTACTGATCTTATGTACAAACGGAATTGGGCAACAGGCATAGCCTATATAAGCCCTCTCCTTACAAAACATAACAGTATATACATATCATATAAATGTTATTATTACAGATGTTTCTTTAAGTATTAAAATAAAAAATTATTTGTACTTTGAAATTGATTTGACAATACATATTTCAAATATCACAATTGTTATAAAAGAGATTATTTTACAAAGTTATTTGAGAATCTAATAAAAACGTCTAGTGTCTCTAACGTAATTCTGAGCCGTCTCCACAATATTTATATTCATATTTATGTCTCGTGATTGGAAACCATAAATAAAAATTTGGGTATTGAGTGGAATAGCATCACTCATCGCTGACAGAGAGTTAAGTAATATTAGTCGTTGATTAGTATAAAAAGGACAGTGCAGGAAAAAAATGGTCACGATCTTCGAAGGGGGAGCCACATATACAAGCAGGGCTATCATTTAGTTGTGCATTAAATAAATCTGAATTTAAATTACTTGCAGAATTTCTTAACTGACATAATGTTATGTTAATTTTTCTATCACCGTGATATTTACAAATGTTACTACATATTGGGTGAACATCATCCATATGGGATGGACGTAAACATTCCTTTTTCAGAGCTCCAAGAGATGTCATAGTGGGAAACAGACAGGCTGGATTGTTCCATTCTGACATCAGTTTTGGAAAATAACTAGAGTTATATAAATGCGTTCTTGGTACTGGAATGTCAAATAACCTATTGTGTCGAAAGTTGTAATGTTCAAAGTTATTAAGAAAGGCAGTATCAAGTCTGAGACATGAGATGGACAATTGTTATTAAAGAATTTAAAAAATGCAATATTTTGATGTAAATGTCTAAATAGATAGATTAATGCCAACCTTCGTGCTGGGTAAGCGTTACAATATGTTAATAGCGGTTTGGAAAAGATTTTGGTAAATAAGCCGATCACTGATCCCGATGAAACTTTTGACGTCATCTGTAACGTCATTTCTGCTTCCGTTAATCTAATTCTTAAATCTCTGCATACTTTTGGCGCGAATTTATGGAATTTCTTTGAAACGTTTTACCCCCTAGATGTTACGCGTTACACGAGTTATTGTGACGTTTTCGAGGTTGTTAATGGGGAACAGAATTCTTCACTGTTGTGTTATACTATCTATAATTAGCATTATATAAATGAGTTTGATAAATCGTTTTCTTTGATATATAATCAACCTCGATATCCAGGGGTAGCGCTCACTTTCGCTCTCTTCGAAAGTGAGCGTAACCCCTGGATATCGAGGATGATATATAATATGATATCAAGTTATGAAAACTGAAAAATACAGCGATACTTTTATCGGGCGCAATGCGTGATTTGAAGCGGTGTCACCTTCATCGCGCGTAACGTAATTACGTATACATCATAGCATACCATGACGTTAGAGGGTTTACACTTATAAACCTGAAGGTTCAATCTTTATTAACGCGTGTCAATGCCATGGCCCGTTACCGAGTATAAGTACTAACATAAGCGTGAGAACAGCCAGGTAACATAACGACATAGACAAATGGCTCCGTGATTTCTCGGCTTCATAGCGTTTACCCATTAGGAATGTGATGAAGTAGCCCTATTTATCAATTGGCGCCTGATCTATCGCTATGACTACAATACCTTATAAGAGAACTGTTTGAAGAAACAATCTCAAATTGATGAGAAGGAAAGCATTTCATCAATATCCAATCTGATGGTGTGATAAGGACAATCAGAAACGTCTGGAAACGAAGCGATATGAATTATGTATATTGACTAAGAAACCCAAGAATCCAGTGTGTATGACTAGGTTAGCCTCGCCATCTTATTCCTATGTTTTTAAACTCCTATGATTTCCATTATTTATATTGTTTTACTTGATTCAGTTACAGAAACCCTAACGGCCAATGCGTTACCGACCATTTTTAATATGGCAGTAATTCCTACATTTCTTCACAAACAGCACGAGTATATATGATATGAAGTTTACGTATCATCAAGCTTATCAACCATCGCATAACAAGATGGCAAAGACAGGAAAGGATCAGGAATGTTGATCGACAGTGTGTTTCTTCCTCTAGTGTACACGGGTTATACTACTACGGCCGGAGTGCATTTTACACGACTCATTATAAGGATGCGTCTGTGCTCGGCTAAAAGGGTCCGCCACAATACAAAGATTGCTTTGTATGCAATACGGAAATGTTAGAAATATTTTTATGGGATTCGTGTTTCAGAATTTGGACTGAATCTCGCTTCAAATCGATTGCAGCGTCATGGAACAAGTTTATGGCTAAAAAGAGTATTAACGTCACTTCTATTTTCAGATTCAAGGACACGTATTACAATGTTCTGTATTTCTATTCTCAATGTTTCCTTTTATACATGAATCATTAAAACAATAATACTTTTTCCAGTTTTTTATTATTTTTTTTTATACTAATTTGCATATTAACATGTATTGGTAATATTGAAATTCCAATACGCGATGTTTGAACATTTCAAGTAACATGCTGAGTACACCCACTTCGTGTATCATGCTGTACACTCAGAGTTAACCATGTCGCAAAACAAATATTCATGCATAAGAACTTGATTAAAAATTGTATCCAGTAGTTTCTCAATCTGTAAAGTCCACAATAAAAAATAGATCTGGCAGTTAATGACGTTCTAAATGGACATTAGAATGACAATCAGTCTTTCTATACTAGTACCCTACCCGCAAGGTTAACGTAGAGGACGTCACGAAACAGTTTTTATCGTTGTCATCAAGCTGTGATTGGTTATAGTCAAGGCAGCTTGACATTGGTGATATTAAATGGCGCTAGATGTGTGGAAAACATGACGGTTATGTGTCAATTTGCTTTCCTGAAACCCATCTTTCTGCGATAATATCTAACTCACACTAACTAGTTTCAGAAAGGTATAGGTTAGACGCCCTCTGAGTACATCGTCCCGGCCACTGATCCACTTACCACTGACACCGTGTGGCTGTCGGACATGACTCCGTGTGTCGAGATCAATGATACATCGTCAGACCTTCTAGTTTGTCCAGATCAATGATACATCGTCAGACCCTCTAGTTTGTCCAGATCAATGGTACATCGTCAGACCCTCTAGTTTGTCCAGATCAATGGTACATCGTCAGACCCTCTAGTTTGTCCAGATCAATGGTACATCGTCAGACCCTCTAGTTTGTCCAGATCAATGGTACATCGTCAGACCCTCTAGTTTGTCCAGAGGAACGTTACGACAGAGAATTCACGACAACGTGATAGGAGATCTTCCGTGCTTCATATCAATTATTTTAAAAGTTTAACTTAATGAAAGCAGACAGCCGTTTGAGATAGTTTG